TTTTTAAACGGTAACTGTAACGGAATACAGTTACTCATATTTTGTATTTTAAATACGTAACGGCGGTACATGTATTCCGTTACTCCCCAACACTGCCTATAAGCAGGTACTTGGTGACTGTGGGAAGGAAGAACTACCATTTAACAGGAAGAGACTTCAAGCAGAGCCAGGGTCAGGGAGGGGAAGAGTTAAGTTTTAAGAATTCTAAATGCAAATGCAGGGATATGAAAAATGAAATATTAATTTTAAAAAATGAAATCAGGCAAATATAAAATAAAATTATAAAAATCCTAAAAATGAAACATGAGAATGCGTTTGTTTGTTTTTTATAATCCCACCACGGGATCCACTTTGATCCATTTCAGGTGCATAAATCCCCACTAAGATCTTTTTTCCCAGGTGCTTGAGATATTCATATCAGATGTGTCTGCGCTACTATTTGTGAATGGAAATATACTGAACATTAAAAACAAATGTCAAAGTTCAGTGGAACTACTCTCCCAAAGAAATGTTTTGTGGTTTAGCTAGAGTCAAAGAAAAACTATTTCTGGATGGGATGTTTCCCTTGATGCTCATTTATGTAACTGCTGCAGTGAACACCACACAGAAACGATTTCACTTCCATTGTATTGGTGTGCAGGCAGAAAGGCCAGTCAAAACAATTCATATATTTTCTTTACCACTCGGTTTGTGAGGCGGGAAAAAAGTTAGTTAAATGACTTCTTTTTCACCTCTGCAGCTCTGTTAAATTAGTTATGAGGATTTCAAAGGACTGTTGTTTTCACGTTTCTGCCATTCTTCTGGAAAGGAGCTCTGAGAGCAGTAACAGCAAAGCGGCCTTTAATAGAAGTAAAACTGCACGTCGATAGCAAAGACGTCTCCTTCGGCATATTTTCTGGTAATTTTTGACTCACAGATGATAAATCTCAAATTCTTCGTTTGTCTCTGTTATTTGTGGTTCGTCTGACAGTTAACGATTCCCTCAGATGTTTTTTTTTTAACTTTTCTTCGCCAACTTTGTCAAACCAGGTGTTGTTCTGTGATATGCGCTTCTTAAGCAAAGGCGCGGGTGGATTCAGGCAAGAAGACAAATGGCCCTGCTGTACTTGCTGTCCTTCTGAGCAAAGATCGCTTAAGCCTCATCTCTTTGTCTTTTGAGGTTGAGGGTAGCTGTGTTTGTGGTCTGTAACAGGTGTGGGAGATAAAGCCAAACACATTGGCCAAACACCCCGTTAAGCATTACCTCAGTGCAGAATTTTGTTATTTGTCAACACCTATGTTCAAATTAAGAGCTCCCAGAGAAGATTCACTAAAAGGTCTTTGCAGAAGAGACACTCTCTCAGAGGAAAACAGCTGTCATTTTTATTTCTGGCGCAATCATAGGAGTTGGAGATAAGCCCAACATGTGGGAGAACATCCAGTTAAAAATGTCAGAGGAAAGGTTTATCATACATTGAAACATTTAAAGGTCCCCACATTCTTTTAAACTTAAGTGCTGCCCTGCGACTGGCTATAATTAACTAAAGATGTTCTACCTGATGAGCTTCTACATTTCCAAATAAAATATTTCATACAGTGTAACTTTAATTTTCAAAGTTCTCTTGACATGACCTTTAAAAGAAACAAAAGTCTGAGCAAACTTACTCCCAGTCGAGCTAATTTAATTATACGGCTAATGTCCTTCCTTACAGTTCCCTCAGTTTTCCTGTGGCCATCTGTTGTGATGTATGGCTGTTAAAATAAAAAAAGTGGACTGTGGATTATATTTGGGACAAAATGTCCTATAAGACCAGATTTGAGACATTCCCAGGGAGCTTAAAGTCCCACCTTGTCAGCAGCAGGATGAAATGGTTTGGCTGAGGGTTCGTTTGTAAACCTGGAGGCAGCACTGGGGGGAAAATGGCCAAGCTTTCTGACATCATGGGACAATCCAGACTCTGCTGGGCAGCAATCAGTGGATTTGGGGCTGAAAGTCACCCATTAGTGCACCATGCTATCTGTGCCTAGATCTGTGTGTGTGTGTTTGTGTTTGTATGTGTGCATAAGGGATCCAGGATTGGAACGATATAATATTTGCAAAATGTCGGATCACTATAGTTTGTCTTGTTAACTTCAGCTTTTGGGGGGAAAGTAAGGGGAAGCTGCAATTTACATGTCAAAATAAATTTGTGAAGATCACTTTGCCACTTTGGACTCGGTTTATTCCATTTAAAGTTTGCGCATTAAAGTGGCTGCCAGTATGAATTTGTGAATTCGCTCATTGTGTACACCTTGGAGTGTTTGAGTGCAGGGCAACATAATTTCCTTAGCAACACGCGTGAGAGTGTGTGAGAGCGAGAGAGCTCTGAAATCCAAATTGAAAGACGCCATTTAAGCACCTTTGTTTTGTTTTTGTGCTCCAGCCTTGTGTTTGTGTGCCAAAGGTGGGACCTGAAGTCGGCTCAGCTGAGTCAGCCATTCGGCATTCCTAGCTAGGTGGAACTGCTTCGGCCCTTGTCCTTGAGCAACAAATCAGATTGAAGGGAAGAGGACAGGAGCTTTGAATAAAAACACAAGCAGCATGTATCAATGACTACACAAGCAATAAATCACTACAGGGCGCGGTGGTACCTCTCCATCTTAACCATCTCTCTGTATCACAAACACGCCTGAACACTGGAGTGTGTGTTTGTGTCTCTTTCTCAGGCTCGCTGGACGGTATGCAGTGATGCTTACATTCATGCTCATATGCATGTTATTATATCAAATGTGTGCATGTGGTTGTGCATTTTGTGCGTTTCTTTGTCAGTGACTGTTTTTTAGAGTGTTGGATATTAATATAAATCTTGGGCACCACGATATGCTTCGCCTCCTTGCCCTGAGAGCATTTGCGACTTCAGGTGATTAAGCTCCTTTAAATTTCTACAATTTCTTCTACACCGTCGAAGGAAGTGCGTCTCCACCTCTGCAGGCAGATGTTCTGCCGAGTCATAATAACATTTTCTAGGAAACTATAACATTTGACTATTTCAGCTCTCTTTGGGAATTCAAATATGTCTCTAGCACATTGCGTTGTTTGCTCTGATTTATGTTTTGACTGCAGTATTGTTGTGAGACCGGACAGAGCAAATGTGAAAGTGGGCGGTTCGTCTGAGCCTCAGCTGACATGTGGGGACTCTTGACATGGCTCAACTGTTGGGTTGGGAAGGAAATGGAGCTGAGGGTGTTTGGGAATCTGGATTTAGAGCTATAATTAACAGCTGAATATTCTCTTTTATAATATCAGCAGGTATCTGTTCTGGAATGCTTACTTGTAATATTATATAAAGGAATTCTGCACGTAAAGACTGATGGTTGAGTCTGCCAGTGACTCACGGTGATTGAGTGGACACCATACTTCAGTGCAATGCTATGGATGACAAAACAGGTCCCTTCTCTCTCTCTCTCTCCCTCGCTCTCTCTCTCTTGCACCACTCCTGGTTGCAGGCTCCACCCTCAGTCCTGGCGGACAAGCTGGTTGACCTAGGAGGAGGAGGAGATAGCTGTGGAGGGAAGAGGGGGGAGGTAGGAACGGACGGAGATCAAATTCATTTCTGCTAGTGAAGGCACAGCAGATTGCAAAAGCATAACCTGACGCAAATGGACCCAGGGCACGCATGGCTACCGAATGGATTACTTTAATAAAATGAACTGCAAATGAACTACAACACCTCAAGGAGAGTACACTCAGCAGGCAAAGGAATAACAAAGAGCTCCCTAAAGAACTTTTTGTTAACACTGACCAACACCTGACTCTGATGAAGAGTGATTTTTATTCCTGTGCTGCCTAATTCATTCAGGAGTCAGCTGAGGCTAAAAGGAGAGACATGGATTGAGAGGAAGTAATTTGGGTAAAATTAAGCGACATATAACAGAAATGCACCACTGAAGTAGAACAAGTAAGTACCTTATTGAGTCCATAATGACTGCTGCATTTGATTTGATGGCTAAACATATACTTATTATGTTAAATGTACAATTATTTTAATTATTTAAATCTTTATTCAACATTGTCTGAAAAACTTTCCAGCAGGGCCTTAAATTTGTTCTCATTGTATTCCTCCAATTTGTTTACAACCCAATCGAGGTCATGCCTTTGTATAGCTACAGTATCTCATTTATGCTCAAAACTCAAGTATGCCGTCAAAGCCCAGTGTGCAGATAAACAGGCTGAGCTTTATCAGCTTCTTTTATATTTTTGTTTAGAATCATGTTTCCTCATTAATAATAATAAGAATACAATAATCTAATAATATTCATGTTTGTAGATAGTGAAAATATATTTTATTATATTTATTTTACGTATTTTATTTAACAAGAAAATGAACAAAACACACATCTTATATTTTGGAAAAAAGTGCTCTGGTGACTGTAAATCAAAGTAGTAAATTATTGGGTTGATTAAACAAAATTGTTCCAAATGATGGAACGCCACAATTAAATCAGGCTAATTTTCCAAATAACAGAAATAAAAAATGTGATTAAATCATTCTGACCTAGTTGTTTCCCAGAGCTACTTTCAGGATGTCATTTCTCTTAACATAAAGCATGTATGTTATTGTGCTTGATTAGAAGTCATTGCAGAGCTTAATTGAAAATGGATGTGGTCCTGTTAGTTTTTCCACAGATTACAGAAGCTCGGGGGAACTGTCACGATGTTAATGTTATCTGTTGTTGCCTGTAACGTGAGCTGTAACAGTGATGCTTTTAATGCTCTGCCCCACAGTCGCAGAGACAAGAGCAAAGCCAACAGAAAAGGACACGCGTGAGAATGCTTACCATGCACTGACAACAAGGTAAGAGATGACTTCTCACACTGGGTTGCTCTTCTTTGTGTGAGTGTTTTTTTTGCACACGTGCGTGCCCTGCGCATGTTTTTTTTTTTTAAAGGAAACTCAAAGGGCTTTAGACAAACAGAAGATTTGTTTTCCCAGGCTGTGAGTGGACGGCATCCATACGTCTGTATATTCAAGTGTCACTGATTTATCGCCTGACACAACTTATTATCACAATGGTATATTTCCTCCTAACAGTGAAGAAATAATCCAAAATTGTGTTTAAGTTAAATCAAAAACAGATCCCATACTTAAAAATGAACAACAACAACAAAACCCTAACTTTCTTGTCTGTCAGTTAAATCAAATAATTGCTTTTTGGCAGACGTGTTTTTTATGGAAGCTCTTTGTATCAACCAAAGTCATTGAAAAAAGATTTTTTCCACCATAAATCGCAAAGTTTTCTTCTTCTTTTTTCTCCCTCACACAAACTATTACGGACGAATAATAACTTCCTTGATTGCAGCCTCCATCAGGAAAAAATCATCATCACGGTTATTTTAACAGTCGATTTACTTTGGTCTCTAACAGGGAATCATTTACTTGTGTTCATTTCATCATGTGCTGCAGCTCTGAACAAATCAACTCCAGGCCTGTTTTAGCTGATGTGGTAACGCTGCAGCCCACTTTCCAATCTTCAGGGGGAATACTCTGAATTTATTATCAGCTATGTGTGATGTGAAAAAAGGTCCCATTTTGAATGGTTCACTTGCTTGTTGGTGGTGTGCTAGTTAATGATACATAACAAGAAAAACAGTCAGTGGTAAAATGAACGGGGTTTATCAGTAACGATAAGGGGACTTGGACCTTCTGCATGAGTTCTGTCTACTGACCTGATCTGATACAATATGACTGTAATCTAAGCAATGACTGAATCGCTGTGTGTAATGAGGTGTGGCCCTGCATAATTATCATTTAATTAGCTGTTTGGGGTTGAAGACAGTAAAAGAATAATTTGTATTATTGCTCATATGAGCTGCAGTTAGTGGTGGAGAGCGAACCTGAGTGACATGTACTCAAATAGAGAACCGTGAATGTGATTTTTAATGAGTACAGCAGGTTCCTCCACAAACTGAAATGCATAAATATACACAAACTAGCTAGCTGTCATTGACCCGACTCATTCAGGAGGTGAATTAATGCCG